CTTCCTCCTCCTCCTCTTCCCTTCTGCACCTCCTGCTGCTCATGTTACTGAGACCTGACCGCTTGCAGCTCGAGCTCCTGCAGCCCAGTGCCCACCTGCGTTCTCACAACCAGGAAAAGCCGTGGCTCTTCCTTTAACAGATTGCCTGTAAGTTACTGCATGAACCTTTTATGAGACAATATTGGAAAGGTCACATTAACTTCAAAAAGTCTTTCCATTGTGAGACTACAGGAACAAGTTAGCAAAGAGAAAAGTGTGGTCTCTGTCAGCACTGCTCACCATGTCCCCTGTCTGTGGCAATTTCTGGAGAAGTCTGCAATAATGGTTAGCTCACTTTGCTTTACAATATTACTTTTGCTTTGTATTCCACTACAAACACTGTTGGGTGTAAACACCACCTGATAACGTTATTAGCTTTCTGAGGCTTGACACATGGCTATTTCACCTGTTCCTGCATTAGATTAGATTAGAACTGTGATGGAAATTTCTTTGCACCCTGCTGAAGTTGTGTGTTTATTGGTTTGGCGGGGCTGGGTTCTGTGCTTGGGTCCTGGTGGCCCTCTGTGGTGCTGGGGCTGCTCAGGCTGTAGCAGGGCTCATTGCTCCCTGCAGCTGCCTGGGTGCTGTGGTGAGGGAGGTGCTGGTCTCACTTCTCAGGCAGTGGGACGCAGGGAGGCAGCCTCAGGAGGTTTTGACTGGATACTAGGAAGAATTTCTTCGTGGAAAAGATGGTTGGGCATTGGGATGGGCTTCCCAGAGAAGTGGTGAAGTCACCATTCCTGGAGGGTATTGAAGAGATGTGTGGATGCACGTGGACATGTGGGATGTGCTTTGGTGGTAGACTTGGTACTGTTAGGTGATGGTTGGACTTGGTGATCTGAAAGGCATTTTCCAGCCTAAACGATTCTGGTTATCTATTCTAGGAAGTACTGTTATAGAAAATAATCAAGTGATCGTTGCATTTTTGGGATATAGAAAACCTGGGCTTGAGTCTTTCATGCTTCATTTTCACACCAAAAATGGAATGCACATCTCTTACTTCTCGGGTCAGTGCACAAGCTGCCCTGTCTGACCCTCACTGTTGAGATGACTTTTTTTCTTCCCTGTGAACGAAATCTTTGCCTTACAACAGTTACAATAATAAATACAAATTTCCATTGATTACAGTTAAGGTCATTCTAGCTGAAAGCAGAGAAGCCTATCATTAGCTTACCTGCAGAGCAGAGGACTTATTTTTCATTGTTTATGGCATATTCCAGGCTAAACTCCAGTACAACCCAGTAGCCCATAAAGTGTCATGGCTTGCAATATATCTTTATTGCATAACTGGTGCTCTAACCCAGGATAACGTGTATTGCATTCTCTGTGTGTAAACAAATATTGATCAAAATGTGTAAACCATTGGTATATTTCTTTACCAGGATCGCTGATGCTTCTCTCAGAGAACAAATAAAACATACAGGATATGCTGTTACCTGGCATCTGGTTTTCAGTACAATGGCTGTTAATAGTGTCAGGAGAAAATAATTGATTTTTTGATATTTAAGTGTGAATGTGCTTGAGTAGAGTAGAAAGAAAAAAAAAAAGGAAAACAAACCTTACTACCACAATTGAGAAATGTGCTTCTGCATGTGTTTTCACAGAAAGTATGTTGTGGGTGGTTCTGTAAGTGTAACACACAATGAAGCTTGTCTTTGGTGACCTTAAAAATCATCATATTAAAGTATATTAGAAAGTGAAGCATGTGAAGAATATATAATAAAATAATCCTGGCTGAATTTGGTAATTATCATTTAGTCATGTACTGGTTGCAAGATTTTCAGTAGCTACAGATCAGCTTTATCTAGGATTCTCTTTTCATACCTCTTTAATTTAAACATAATAATTTAAATCCTTCTTAAACTTTTGTTGATAATATTGGTCCAGATCTAAGACAGATACAGTTATTTGAGGAGAAAATCAGAGTGAAAAATAGTGAGTTCCCTTTTCATATTTACTTTGCAATTAGTCTTTAATTAATGCTATTTAAAGAGCCTATCACCATGGTCTGCACTTGAGCACGTGCCTAAGTCTGTTCATAGAGCAAAGTGTTTTAGAAGATACCTGATTTCTGGTGTTGGATCAGAGCTTACACAATGTTTTCAGCCCTTTGCTATAGGGTCCCACATACGGGTCAGAGCTTGCACTTCACTCTGAGCAATGTCTTATGCTAGTTTCATTTTCTTTTATTTTCTAAAGCCATTTCTAATAAGCCCTTGCTTGATATATCAACCACCTCTATTCAATTTTGAAAATAACAAAAATAAATTGTTGTTTTGGCATGTTCATTGAAATGAACAGGTAAGTGAAAATGTTACTTAAGATGCATCCAACTCAGTCAACCATCTGATTACTGTATGCTCCAGTTTCACGCTGTTGGAGATGAGCAGTAGTATGATATAGCCAGGACAGAAGTAATAGCTTGATATGACAGCCAGTCCCCATCATTATCTGCAGATTGCATAACGTAGTTGAGGCAGTGCACAATCCAGTCTACTACCAAGGATGCTCAGTTTTACAAGGCATCAGATGTAAATTTGAGGGACTCTGTGATATATTCTGTTCCAACCCATCGCTCCTACAAACTCAGGAAATGAAAGCCATGGAAACACATCTAACTTAGCACTTGTGTGATACTTTACCAGTTACAGGAGTCTTGCATCAGATTGTTTTCAAGGACACCAACTTTATAGGGCTCTGCAGAGTTTGCAGCTGGTAAAATGTAGCCCTTGTGAACAACATTAAAGGGAAAAGAGAATTTTCACAGCTCCAGTTGCTGCTTTTGACAGACAGGAAAAACATTTTTCTAAAGTAAAAGACTGGTGTTTGGCTTGGCTCTTGATACAGTTGGTGGAATTGGAATAGAGACCCCCAAGTTCATTGCCTGCCCTGGCAGCTAATAGGAGCAAAGTTTCTCTCCTTCAGTTCCAGCATGAGCAATTAGTTACCTGGACCATCTGAAAGCTGAAACAAATGGAGCAGATTCTTTCTCAGCTGTGAAGTGAGACAATAAAATACCTGTTTTTTTACATGAGGGGCAGAATGATATGGAAGGACGGCAGCAGAGCTGCTGGCTGAGATGGCCGTGGTGGCTGTCAGACAGGACAGGAAGGGGTGGCTCCTGCTGCTGTAGGGTACTTGTAGCATCACTCTGCCTGGTCCTGCCTGGTGGTAGTCACACACAGCTCTTCCAGGAGTTATTGCTCTGTGACTCTGTCCTTGCCTGTAGCAGCAAAGCTTTCAGTTGTGGAGTTAGGCTAGGTGATGAACCCTGGTATGGCTTGCAGACCAATACTGCAATACGGAGAATTTTAAGTCTGTAATAGGGCAATAGCAAATGAGGTAGGTATAAATGTCCATCCAGAAGTTAACAGAAAATGCTAATGCAGAGAATATCACCATCCTTGAAGGTTGTTCTTAAGCTTTGAGATGAAGTCTACCAAGTTTCCTCAAGAGTGCGAAGGAAAGCTTGTGTTCAATGTGAGACTGCTTATGATATTTTATAATCTGAGTAAAAAAATAAATAAAAAATGCATGCAACAGTGTATGAGTATATGAAGACTTCTTCAGTTTTTCTGACTAGTGGCCAGTTTTTAACTCAATATGCTGCATTAAGAAAAAATACATATATGTATGTGTGTTTGTGTATATATACCTTCAGAATGTTTTTTCCTTGACTGACAATTTGAGATCACTGCCATGGGATCCAAATTCAGTTTTTTACCAGTCAGTCATTTTATAGATATGCAGGTCCCAATGACAAAGAAGCACTAGGTATCCTTCAGGGAGGTTTTGAAATAATACGTTTTTAAAATCCTTCTCCTACTGTAGATTGTTGGGTCTGATAGGAATTTTTATAACTTATATTTTACTCACAAAGTTGTTGTTTTTAACCCCTAAATCAGTGCTGGTGAGATGCACTTCTCTCTGAAACATTAATTTATTAACCCAAAAGCATTTTAAAAGGCAACTTTTAGAGGAAGCCTGAGTAGAAACACTGTGAAGGAACAGAACTTCTGTTCCTGACATTATCATAGAATTCAAGCTACAGTTGTCAATCCTAATGAAGGTACTGATGTTGATTTGAGCATATTGTTTATATGATGCGCAGGAGCGTTGGGAGATATGTAGTCCCTGTTGCTATCATTTATAATTAAAGTGTCCATCACTTTTCTCTGTTAAACTGCTTAACGAATAAATAATTAAAGGCCCGATTTTGATATGCTTAGCTGAAATGAGAAAAACTGTTCTGAGAACAGTCCAAATGCAGCAAATGGAATTTCTTCAAAGTAAGGATGCAAGATAAATAACAGTATTAGAATATTAGTCAAAGCAATTTCAGGTTTATTGCGGCAATGAGATATTCTGGTTTATGTGCTTCAAAACTGAATGCCACAGATATCTAAGACTGTTCACTTACAAGCAATGTCCGACATTGTCTATCAAGCCTAAACACATTATCTTTTAAGCACAGTAGGCACTAGTCTTAGAATTAATGGCTGGATAAGTGTTCACTGCATATTCAAACATCCTAAGATGAATGTGTTGTAAATCTCTTGTTTTGTACAGTGTAGAAGCTTTTTAAAGTTTTGTTCTATCTAATGGGCTTAACTTATTTACGAATGTCTGTTTTATTGAGGGTTTTTCTTTGATCATTGAACTGATATTTAATTGAGTTTTAATTTGATATTTAAATAAAGGTTATGCTTAAATGATGTTTTTTTTTTTTTGATAGTTTCTAAAATAACCAAAAAGGATTGAAAAGAATTTCTTTAAAGACAAATGACTTTATGTGGTCCTGTTGTGTTTTAATTACCTTGCTTCTATAATAGTTCAAACAACTATGAATATTGCAAGTCCCTCACAGCATTGACAGGGAAATTTTCAGTTGATTTTGCTACCTTGAAATTAACCTTTTACTATCGCATGCGTATGTTTGTCATTTATCCCCTTTTTCTCAGGTGCAAAGAGGGCTACCAAGGAGTCCGCTGTGACCAATTTTTGCCGAAAACCGACTCAATCTTGTCAGATCCAAGTACGTCAAATGTTTTTCTTATATTTTTATCCCGTGCTGGAGGCTGTTCTTGCTATGCGAGATGACCCTTTGCCTATTGTCAAAAAGTATATTAGGGACCACTGCAGTTGCATGCAGGGACCAGTATTGCTTTTGTAGATTACAACATTTAAAAATAAATAAAAACACATCCATCAGTCTCCATGCTAATAAAACATTCTGTCGCAGCAGAGCAGGCCATCAGGGGACTTGATTTCTTATGATGTGGAATGATGCCGTCAGTGATTAAAGCCAAAACATTCGTGTTTCCTCCCTTTGACTCAAGAACAAGTGAAATTACATAATCTAAAAGGAAAACAAGTATGGGCTGCAAAGTGGTTCCTTCAAAGAAAATAAGTGCATATTTTCTGGAGTTGCAGAGATTATCATCTCTTTGGAAATAGGTGATGTCTTATTTTATCATTCATTACTTTTCCTTCAGTTTACACAAAACCCGTTCACTTCTATGAATGATGTTGTTCTGTATTTGTGAAGTAAAGGTGTGCTTTCCATTTTTAATGTGGTGGGAAAGTAACTTTCTATTACACTGGTCAATATGTGCCAAAATGCCATCTGCGTGTATGTTTTCCTACTCCACTTTTTAAATTATATTGACTATCAAAAAATATTATGCAAGATTAATTCTTTGGAACCAAATCCATTTGCTAATTAATACGGTTCATGTTAAATTTTTAGATGAAGTGACATACAGGAAAGGGTCATATCCATTCTCTTATTTTTGTTCTTATACCTGGAAAATGTAATGTATTCAAGTCTTCTGCTTTTGGGTGCTCTTTAAAATGTCATTTTGGTTGTTTTGTTTCTGTTTTTTGAACAATAATGCTTGTTCTTCAAGTCTTTTTTTGTGCTTTCTGCTTATTTTCTTGTTCTTTTTCATGTGAAAGCCTGTTGCCAAAGATACCTGTTGTTTTGTATTTCTGTATGTTGTATACCCTCCATTCTAGTTTGCCTTGTATTTGTTTTAGCTTTTTGTTTTTGCTTGACCTTTAACTGTAAAGTGCAGAGCCTATAATGAATAGGTATATTTTATCTCTGCCAAGCTGTGTGTGCATGTGTAAACATCGCGGTTGCGTATGTGTGAACAAAAAAGGTACTTTGCATCCCAAAAGTTGGGGAAAGGTAACTCAATTAGCAACGGGGCAGGTTGGTGCCTTTCTGACATGTTTTAAACATGGAACTCTGGTGGTATCCTCTCTAAGGAAGAGCTGTAGTGTTTCACTGAAACTGATGTTGATGCAGTACAAAGCCCAGAAAAAGATTTCTGTGTTAAGATGCCTCTAACAAGGCCAAAAGCCCTACGGTGTTTACGTGCTGCAAACATTGTTGATTTTTTTTGCAGCATTGTGCTGGTTGGACAGATTTGTTTGTCTGAACTTGGGAGCCACACTGGTTGTTTTCTGACTGTAGTGTTTCCATAAAATTGTTGAGCAGCCTGATTCTGCTCCATAAGCTAAGGTTCTGCTGAAATGTCCTTGTTGACAACTTCTGACTATAATAGGCAATTTAATTGTATTTATTAACACTTGCATTTAGAAATATATTATTTGTTTGATGTTGACGTAGATCTGGTCACACCTGTGGCCCAAGAATGGTCCTTCTGCCAGTATAAATTAAGAAGGTTAATGTGAACCAGGTATTTTCCTAGTCAGTTTTGAAATGTAACTTGTATTTAATTTTCATCTGCATTCAAAGGAGAAAAGGCTTTTGCTCAGGCCTGTTCCTGTGTGTAGGCATAGTGTTAGTAGGTATGCACATATACACTTGTTCTAAGCATGACTCTCCTGCAAGGTAGATATTAAAAAAAAATTGTTGCAGCTGAACATTTATAATATCAGCATTTTATTTAAGAGTTAAATCAATAAAGTATTTACCTTTCTTTCCATGAGAAAAAAATGAACATCTCACTGATGGTTAGCACTCGGTAGAGGTCATATTTACTATTTGCTTAACCAGAGGACTGTAAAAAGTATATGACACTATTTTGACACAGTAGTCAAGTGCAACATGACCGTCTCCAAAGCGTCTGGTGTTGCTTTGCAAAAATTTAGTTTTGTAGTTGAATGTGTAGTTTTAGATTAGCAGGAGAACTGCTGAAGGATACTAAAGGGTGCATTTGGAGGTGGCTTCAGAAAGAAGTAATTTTTTCAGATGCAAGCCTCAGTTCCAGAAGTTGAACAATCAAATGAGTTCACTTGTGTCGGGACAGCACTCAGCCAACACTGGTGTCACTCAAGTTTTATAAGCAAGTCTAGCTCACTTGTGTTTTGTGGGATTGTTTATGATTCTTGGAAGTAAATATGTTCTGAGCTGCCACTGGTACATCATATAACAATATTTAACTTTTCTGAAGATTGCATGCATGAAAGATTGAAGCAATATGTTTTCAATCTTGGTTTCCCTGTGACTGTGCAGGTTACATTTTTAGAGCATTTGCTTGCCATTAAATGGGAAGTGAATCTGAACCACACTCAGAAAATAGCAATATCATCTTAAAATTGTTATTATTAAATCTATTTATAGGCTTGAGAGTCTTTTTTTTATAATAACCCTCTAAAACGAACCAAGCTTGTTTTGTGTGGCTTTTGTCTGAGGTTGCATAGGGGCAAATAATATGGTATGGCTCTGCAGTATTTATTTTATTTATTTTTTTTTAATTTTTAAAAACACGAGATAAAGTCCTGCTTCATACCTCGCTTTATGCCTATATTAGGCACATCGTAACTTTACATCATGGATACAGATACAAATTATCTAACTTTTAATATGGATTAATGCATGTTAAATCATGTTCATTTTTGCTTAATTAACCTGAACAGATATTTAAGATGCTGTTTCTGGGAAATCTCTTGAAAATATTGGTGGGGTTGCAGAATTCCTGAACTGGCATCAGTGATTCAGAGAGTAGCATGAACCTTCTAGCAGTCAGATCCTCACCTGCTACCTACCTTCTTTCAGGTAAAAGTCAGGATCAAAGTAATAGGAAAGCACGTTTAAAACAGAAAGACAGCAATATCAAAATACCCCAAACACAAAATCTTCCAGTGCACCATCAAGCATGGAAATTTCCACAGATGTTAACAGGTTTCCTCTTTGACTTAATTTCCCAACTCTTAACCAGAGTTCTATCTGTAAGAAAAAGAATAAAAAATAACTCAAGTCTTTATTTATATATACAAAACTCAGGTTTGTTAATCTTGGGACATGGGAGAAACCTGCTTAAAGCATGGGAGCAGCAGGGACTCTAACAAAATGAATAATGTGCCAAAAAGGAAAAAAGGCTGCATGCTGCATGACAGTACAACTCATGCTCACAGTCACTGTCAAGAAGAAGGAATCTGTCAGTCCTATTTAGGACAAGCCTGCGAATTATTGTTCACTCATCCTCTCCCTCATGTATGGAGGAAGGACTAACAGGGCAAAAAGGTGAAATAGGACTTGCTGAAAGGAAATGATAAGAGTGTATTTGAAACATTGCTTCATCTTTCTCCATTTGAGCTAGCTTCTCTCCAAAAGCACCGTTCATGGCAATGGTAGAGCAGTTATATTTTCAACGTTATAAATACAACTTTAAGATGCTTTATAACTTTATATACAAGTCATTTTTCAGGCATGTGTAGTCCTGTGTGTATCTCTAGGATTGGAAACTTGTATACAGCATAAATTGTACAAATGTACTTATGTACTATCCTTTATAGTGTTCTGGAGTAGACCTGCCTGGACCAATGAGTCTTGAAAGGTAAGTTGTATCTAGGCTGCAGATATCCCATTTGATCAATTTTTATATTGAGGCAAAGTGCTGCCTTCAAAGCTTTAACTTCTCTGTGCATCTACTCCAAAGTGGTGAAGAAAGCAGTTGAGAATGGGTATGTCATATAGCATTGTGTGGTTTTTTTTCTTTTGTTTTTACCAATTTCAGTTGAACTTAGCCTTCAACTATTCTATCCCTAACACAGCACTGCAAGCTATTTCCCATAGGGGAATTTAAAAAAAAAAAAAAAAAAAAAGTGTTTTAGTTTTATGAAGTGCAATATTAATTTTGTATTAGACATATTGACATTTGAGTTGTCCTATATGTCCTATATGACCAGAAAGGCTTAAGTGAAGAGGGATCCCCTATCAAAGATCAGGAATGCTATTCAATCCTATTTCAAAATAAATGCATTATTTTATAAAAATAGAAAAATAAGATGGAAGGTTATGAGTAGTTAAGCTATGCTCCTGCTGTTGTGTTTGGCCCCATCATGTGATTACTTCCACAGGCTGATTACACTTCATTTTTACCACTTGTGACCAGTGTGAACTAGCCACTAGAGACAGTTTTTGTATCACCCCTGCTCTGAAGGTTTCATATTCCAGTCAGAATTTGTTCACAGCCAGAACTTGTCCTTTATGTTTTTTGTTAAATGTGCGCCTTGTTTCAATATTGATACCTTTATCCATCAGTTTCCACAAACAGTCGCATTATGCTTTGGGTCTGTCAGTCTGGCTTTTTCAAATGTCAGAAGTCTTGTTTCTATAGAGTTAGCTTTAGCCTGTGGTCGTATAATACTTGAACCTCTGCCAGCATGACACAAATCATGTTTCTTTTTGAATCTCATCAAAGACAAACCTGCAATCTCCATGTCTGGAATTTGCAATTATTCATTCTTAGATTACTTCTTTATGTAGCTAAAGATCAAAATCCCTCTCCCGGAAGACTCTGGGGCTGTAAATAAGTAAAACAAGTCCAGATAGTTTAAAAATAAAATACGTTTTTCCAGAAACATCTTCAAAGCCTCAAAACCCCAAACCTCTCCGTGCCACCCACTCTCCCTCAGCCCCATCTTAATTACTCTTTTATGCTATGTAGTGATACAATTGCTATTTTTTTGCCTAGATTAGTTTTGCATTTCTTTGGCATGTCTAAGTGGGAAGTGTCTGAGCATAAGCATATATATGCCCATGTTTTCAGCCCATCAGTC